TATTAAGAGATAAATTTAATAATTATTTATAATTACTTAAATTATAAGTCTTAAAGAATAATATTACTAATATTATTATTTATAAGACTTATAACTTATTATATTCTATTATAATTAAGCTAAGTACTTAGAATCTATAAGATAATTTAGACTCTTTTAGCTATTAATAACTTTCTTAGCCTAATCTAATATTTTATGTTATAGCCTTATATATCTTAGTCTTATTATATAATAAGTCCTTTCTCTTATTTTTATTTATTAGTCTCTTTAATTAATATATTATAACGTTACTATACTTTTCTTTTTTTATAGCTGGTCTGTGTTATCACTATAATATCCCTCCTGATTAAGTAAACAACAAAGAGCAGGAATGTTTAGCGATGGCGTCTCCTTTCTATTCTCCTGGCGCTGTTGTCACCTGCAACTTGTAGTCTGCTAGCCAGACGTCTGAGTGGGAGTGTCGAGCAACACAGCTTAACGCTAGTACGGCCGTATGGCTAACAACCTCCTTGCAGGGCAGCGCGAGCTGCCATAACTGCCAAGAGGATTTGGCTATACATGTACAGCCAAATCCCCAAGCGGGTAAGCGCCGCTCTGACATATCACGTGTCCTGATCTCCTGTGCCTTGGCATAGGAAATCCCTATTAGGTAGCTACTAGAAAATCTAGATAGGAATACACAACACAACAGAGTGAGAACTTCAACAGTCGCACTTAGTACTATACTCGCATGCTTTTTTAAAGAGACTTTCTTTCCGCCGGTCTTGTTGTTGTGTTTTGGCTCTTAAGCTTTCTGCTTGTCGTTTGGTTGCGGTTTTAATTCCTCGAAGCTTCATTGTGTTATGTGAGATCCTTAGATATCTATGTTGATCTGGAACAGCTTTTATCACTAAAGAAGTTCCCAACTCTCTTTTATATACGGGCACCTTTTAAGTTACCCATAACATTAACACTTCTTTCTTATTTTGGGGGAGATGAGAGAGATTTAAATAGAAATAGAAAACCAGAAAAAGAGTACGATACCGTAAATTCCTTTGCTGGGGTCCTTTTCTGTGATCCTTTTCTGGGGACCTTTTCTAGAATCCATTTTAGAAGATCTTTCTGAAACGTTATCGTCAAATGTTAAAACTAACCAAATCCGTTTTTGAGATTCTCTGTTTTTGGATGCTGTCCCATGAAACACACATTTTCGTTTTCTGCTTTCCCTCATCTGACCCCTCACCCTCACCCTCTCACTCTCTTCAGCCCACTTCAAACAGCCCCCCTTCCTTTCCACCCCAAATGCTAAATATCTCAGGCCTCTTCACTATGAGTCTTAAAAATGTAAAGACTAACGGAGGCCGACACTTGGCGAGTTAGTACACTTGGCGAGTCACTCAACGCGTTCCTACGCGTCAGACTGCTCTCTATCTTTGAATCAACGCAACTCTCTCAATATTAATCGCAATGACTTCTAACCAAGAGCAATCGATTCAGCAAGCTCTAATTGATCTTGAGGATAAACGATTTCGCTCAATTCGGCAAGCTGCAGCCTATCACAGAGTTGCGCCGGGGACCCTTGGCCATCGGCGCAGAGGCCGTCAAGCGCGAACTTCAATTGATCTCAACTCTCAACGACTTACGAAATTAGAAGAAAGTGTGCTTGTGGCATGGATTGAGGACCTCCAAAACAGCATATGAGTCCTAATTATCATTAAATTACGTTCGTTATGAAGCAAATGCTCAAAAAGAAAGGGGATACAAAGCCACTTGGTACTTGATGAATAATTCGATTTCGTAAGCGCCATCCATAACTCAAAGCAGGCTGTACGCAGGCTATAGATATTAAGCGACTTCTAGCGCTTGATACGGATATAGTTGAGAGGTTTTTCAAGCAGATTTCAGTACTACAAGATGAATTTGATATACCAAGTTAGGAGATTTATAATATAGACGAAAAGGGCTTTTAAATAGGCTAAACAGTATCAGATTATATAGTTTTTAATAAGTTCTCTAGTCCTTCTGTTACTCTAGAGATAAGAGTATTAAAATAAGTATTAATAATCAAATATATAAGTTATTAAGTGCTTCTTAAGCCTTATATTATTTATATTAGTAAGGAACCAGAGTCTAAATAATTTCTACTTACTAATAAGCTCCCTAATTAGATATAGGCCTTTTTTCTAAAGAGATAGACTAATAATAAGCTTATTATTAATTAGTTATAATATATATTTAACCCTAAGACTTCTCTAAACGAAAACAAGCATTAAATACTTATTCTTAATAGTTATAAAAGTTATATATCTAGTAATTTTTAATAAGAGTACCTTTAGAGTAATATCCACTTTATTTATTTATTAGTTCATACCTCTTATTATTTGCAGCCTCTTAATATAGGGCCGTTTTCTCCCTTAAGGCAGTACTACAGCAAGGCTATTTAATAATACACCCTAACAGGATACACTACGCTTAATTAAGCGACTTTTGCGAGTATCTACAACAAAGTACGACTTAAAGTATTCTCTAAATGTAATATATACGTTAGATAGAAACGATCTGATTTATAGCCACAAAATAAAGACCTAATTCTGCAAGATCTAAAGATTCGAAATTTTGACTGTACAACGCCTGATTTCTATCCTAAACTGACTCTAAATAGCCTATTTGATACTCCAAAAAAGCCTGATTAGTATAAGACTATTATCTCTCAAATTGAGCACAAATTATCACCCTTAAGTCGAGTCAAAATTCGCAAATTAGGCAAGGGCGCTATTCAAGAGAATTCTGTCAATATAGCCCTCAATTCAGGGCTACACAAGATCCGAAAGCAGGATAAGAGCAAGGAGGTCAACAAGCGCACACAGAGGCTGCAGAAGGAGAAGAATCAGAGGTCATTCTCTCTACGAGAGATACGAGAGGCAAGGAGGGCCAAAGGAGAGCCAATTCGGGCAAGGATAGCGTACAAAACGCAGGAGAAACTCATCCTGGCAATACCCACGAAGAACCCTAAATAGGAATACTCTATAGCTTCATTTGTAGTAGAATTTGACTGTGGGTTGTATGTATATCGAGTGATAAAGTTACTACGAAGAACCCTAACAAAGTGACTCGCCAAGTGTACTAACTCGCCAAGTGTCGGCCTCCGTTAATTCAGATACTAGAAATTATCGCAGAGTGCCACAGAACTAGAGTGTTTTTCTTCGGACCCTACTCTACTAAGCTTATCAGCGAACACAGATTACAGAGACCAGAATCATCTTTTACGGTTCGAAGTTTCTCTTTATATTCTCTCTGCAATCTTTGAGATTATCTCACAGCTAGCAGAACTTATAGAGAAGAAGAACTCCGATACCAGTAGAAGAAAACAAAATTTAAGCAACTGTAAGATGCAGAATATAAGACGAAATCGCGAGTACGATACAGAAATTCCATTGTCCGAGCAGCAACCTTTATCATTATCAACAGCTCTTCAATCACCAATCAGAGAGACTACAACACAACTCTAGGTTACGGGACATTGGACGCTGTTTTCGGCGGCTTTTTGTGACTTCATGCCACTATTTTTGTCGCTGGGCCTGGATTTCTGCCCGCCCTGCAGCAACATTCACAAACCACACAGCGTAACCCCCCATCCTTCCCTTCCCAAAAGAGCCCCTCGAAAACAGTGGCCTTTCAGCATCATGTGAATTCGTTCATAGGATAAATGGCCATGGGCCTCCCTTCTCTCCGGCCTCCTGCAGAGAAACCCGTCCAACACTGCTTGCAGATTGAAACTTCCACCATCCCACGCAGAACTTGCCTCCATTGGCGAGCCATCTAGTGTCTTCCCTTTCCTCTTTTGTTCTACTCTGTCATTTTGATCTCTTCCTTGACCCTCCTTCTTCCTCTTCTTCTCTCTATAAGCTCTGCTAGCGTTGAACCATCTACGGAATTTCTATTTATCCTCTCTTGTAGGCAAGTTCGAAGTTGGATTTTCATTTCTTCTGCGAGGCTTTCTTTTGGGCTTTGGCGGCCTCGAGCTTCGACTCCAGATAATCTTTCTGGTTAGGGCGGGTGGGAAGCTGAATGGAACCATTTTGCGTTCGTTTCTGGACTTGGCCGTCTCGTTTTGAGATCATTCCATGTGATTTGCGGTGCTGCCACCTAGAAAGTCTCAGCATAATAAATTAAGAATCTGTGTTGTTGCGAGCGAATATGAAATAAAATTATACTCCGTAATTTACAGAGAATTGTTGGAATTCGCCTTGGCGTACGGCAGCCAGATCCTTGGCGCTGCGTGTCACGTGAATGCGCACGTGCCACTCCGCACAGTAGATTAGCCTTCTCCTTCTGGAGATAGCTACATCATTTACATCGATTTCTCCACCAACTGCTGGTCAATTTGGCTCGGAATTGGCCTAATTGCCTTCTACACATGCAAATTACCTGATTTGATAGATCGATAGAGGTCAAATTGATTTGATTTGATTGGAAACCTTGCAAAACCCCAGCCTCTCCCCTCCCTCTCTTGGATCCAGCAACTCTTCCTCCTCGAGATTAAGAGCGTACATTCACCACTTCCCTTCCGCATTGTCCATATTTTCTGTTGCGCACAAGCGATCCCCCCGGGATGGACATCGTCCCCTTCTATCAACCGCACTCTGGGAAGGATAGCTCATTTCCTCACAGCATTCCTTCGGTAGTTGTTTAGTCGGAGGGACAACTGAAAGATAAATAATGAATATGGATTGTCGCATGTAAGCTTTAGTTTGCCAACACCCCATGCCGGCTCTCAAATATGTGACTTATCTCAACCCATCTGCTCGTGCCCATCGATCATCTGAGCATCCTTTGACCTCCTGTAGGTATTTGTCAAACTTGATCACAGTGTCGATAGCGTGTTGCATATGGCGATATACCAATCTCTCCTTGCGGAACTGTGCTAAATGCCTGGCCATGGTGACGACGTTCCGGATCTCCCGTCCATTAATTTCATGCTGAGCGAGGGATCCCACATTCATTTCCAGGTCGTCCAAATCGATGCGTTCTTTAGTGCCGCGTAACATGTGGAAGAAATTTCGCCATATCCCCTCACGTTGTTCCTGGTCGAGATTTGGGTAATGAAGTGCAAGTTGAATCCGGGATTTGAAGGCCGCGTCGAATGTGCCGACCCGATTGGTGGTCAGGACCATGATACCGTCGTAGTATTCCAGCGCACGGAGGAAAACTGTTCAGCACTATTAGCGGTCTTGTGAAAGACAGAGCGAGCCAGACGTGCCAGAGATTAGAGCGTTCCTTTTGAGGTCGGCGATCCCCCTTTCCTCAATGAATACGTCGGCTTCATCCAGGAGCACAACTGCTTATTCATAAGCGGGAAGTTTCATTTCGGGAAGCAAACTTACCACAACCCCAAGCCTTACCGATCTCCAATGTAGCATTCAGATACTTCAAGGATTAGTAAACGTATTTTAGAAGGGGGTTGCAAGGGGGTGAGCTCACTGTCTCCACATCCCCCGGCTCTACTCCAATATCTCCGCATGTTACACGATAGAGAGGCCTTTCTTCAAGCTCAGCAATGCTCTCTGCTGTCAACGTCTTCCCTGTACCCGGTCCGCCATGTAGTAATATTATAAGACCATTGCCTTTACCAGCTATCATGTCGGGGGCGCTACGAGTCGCTTGCGCTGTTATTAGAGCCTGCATCAACTCTTTCGTTTGGTAGGGTACCACCAATCGCTCGAACACATCTTTGTTCCAGGTGACGTCTGTTATTCGATCGACTCGTAGCTTGACTAAGAAAAAGTTAACAATAGCTTGAGTGACCAGTCTTCCAGATAACATACCCCAAAATTTCTGTTGAAGATCAAATCCATGAATGTACGCAGGCAGGAGCACAAGAAAGTCACCGTCGGGGGGTTGTTCGTTATCCATCGCTTCGGCTCCCAAGTCGTCTCGGGATGAATTGAAAATCATCTTATCCTTATATATGCGTCTGTACATTTGGTAGTCAACCATGATTCGTCGCTCTGCCTGTTGAAACGTAAGAATTGACATTGTTGACTGCAAAATACTGATATGCCATCAACGCTGGGCCAGAAATTGAAACCATACCTCCTTCGAATGCGACTGGTCTGTATCTTTATGGCAAATGAGTCTCTTTTTGCGACATGACCAAAATTTTTCCCCACGAGCCAGAAGCTTGCCATAGACTTCAGGACCTGCGAACCGTAATGGAAAATATTCCAAGGACGTAATATCTGTTTCTTTGTCAGATGGTTTGAGCTTGGTTTGATACAAACGTGCAATTCTGAGCTTGTCCTTCCTGAATACTCCATTGAAACACCATTGGAAACCAATTATATCGTCACCATCCGCGTACTGGGGCCACAGGTTGACTTTGGCTGCACTCGTCACCCCATCTCCATCTTGCACTAACATCAATTCGTCTGGTCGAAAAAGTTTGCGGTAGTGCTTCTGATTGATTTTGCCTCTGGAGAGTAGGTCGTCGGCCTCTTTCCAGTCAGCACCCGAATCCTTTTCGAGCCATTCGCAAAGAAGCCTAAGTCGGGCGCGGTCTCCTTCATTGAGACTACTAGAGTCTAAAAGTTCTGTCAAAGTCCTATTATGGACATAAAACAGAGAATATGGGGGGTAAAAGAACCAGGGCATATCATCGGTCGAGTATCCTGGGAAGCGGCTTGGATTTGACGATATTATGGTTTTCAAGGCTTCAACGAGCCTTTCACCAATGGCGATAATCCGACTTTCAGATTTCGCAGGAGGTCCATCACGGACAAGTTTTCCAGTTTTGTAACCAATAGAGCTGAGGGACCCATGGGCTTCATATTGGTCACATGAGTAGAAATGGATGCTCGCGAACGCAGTTGCAGTGTGATCCTGAAAATATTTGGTAATATTCTCAACCTCATCGCGGCCACGGAGGTGATCGTCCTTTACATCCCCTTTGAACTTTCGTGGTACATCTCTGAAGCTTTGTCTCTCCTTTCCACAATCTACAGTATGGAAAGTCTCGTATATGGGATGGGGCTCTGGTCCTTCTTGAGTGAGTTGGTTTTCATCGTTCTCGCCATCAGGTGATGTACTGGCCTCTGCACGTTGTAATTCTTCTTGCAAGGCAACCTTCTCCGCCGTCAACTTCGTAATAGTGTTTACCAAGGATGTAAAAAGCTTTGAATGTGGGCCACTTCCGTACAGCTCTGGGTCAAGACCAGAAGCACCATTTACTGAGAGGACCTCGAATGCCCGGGAGGATTTAGTATGAATCTTCTCCTGAATCTTGTGGACGCTTACGGTTGCGCTTGCGGTTGCGCTTGCGGTTGCGCTTGCGGTTGCACTTGCCCTGGGAGCTAGATATGTATTTCCGGTATGTCAATACTAGCAATATTTGATGGTGGGAGCGTGGCTGCACTCACCGGACGGTTTCCGCCAAGCTTATCCTTATCCTCGTCCTGGCCCTTCTCCTCGTCCACGTTCACGTTCATGTCCGCCTCCTCCTCCTCCTCCTCCTCCTTCTATAGCTTCCTCAGCTTCTTCACTCTCATGTATTCTTTTGTCCAATTCATCTTGTTGACGAGTAAATGCGCTGCGCTGTTTCAGGATTGTCGAACTCTCCGCATCCAATCCATCAGTTCTTCGGACATTCATTGTGGTAAGCTCGATTGGCGCATCGTCTTTAAGTATGACATTGAATATGGTCAGTGCTATCTCAAATGGACTGCAAAGAGCAATTATTTACCATCTCTTTGCGAAAACCTAAGTTGACATGCAGTCTTTGAGAGGAAATTTCCATCGGGATTTTCTGATCGATCCTGAGATAGAGTTGCGTCGACAAACAACTCGTCGTCGCTCACATCCGCACCTTGGGAGAGGCCCCGGGTAGGCCTGCGAAGGCGGATGGAAAGGTCTTCCCCTCCGATATCCATTATGTAGCTGAAACCGAGGCCGAGAAAGAAACGTCTACCCTCTGCGTTGAGACTCGGAAAGCAATCCTAAGTCAGCAAAGATATTTCTACATTGATGTCCAGGTTGATTTTACAGGCAATATATCTTGGTTCGAGCACCAGCCTCACCTGCAGTACGAGCAAGGCTCAGCTCTCCCATCCATGACCGCCAACATGTATAGCGGCTAGGCATGGGAAGGCAATCATTCTCGGCGCTTGGAGCCTCGTCTGAACACTCTTTCCCGTCCAATCATGGTCAGGTTTCAGGGTAACACGGGCTGAGTCAACTGAGGCAGTGCATTCATTTGGTTTCACTTCTCTACTTCAATACCAAGTAAGTTATATTCAAACTATCAAATCTGTCGAGTAGTGACTTTCAAGCTCCCTCAGTCTACACTGATCATGTTGTCCGTGGTGGCTCTGCAGCTAACAGCTCCATTAACAGCGGACGGAGCTGCTCAGCCCCAGCGCTCTGCAAATTCGGGAAGCGGCGAGAGACTCTCCGTGCACCTGGTGGGACCCCTCTTCCCAACCCAGGTCGTCGGCCTTCATTCAGGGAGACAGTGAAGCAATTAGCCCCAATGTATGGACGAAGATCGTTGCCAGGTCCGAGACCGTGGCTGACGATGACCATTTTTACAGCCGCCCAAATATTTCGGTCCGAAATCTCTTTCCAAACTCGTCCCAGCTCAATCATAACCTCTGCCATATTTTCGTCCCCCTGGACGACGATAAATGTGCATGAACTCTCGCTCAACAGTATAGCATAGATGTGTAGCCAGTCGCGCACTGTAGCACAGCGTGCAAAGCATTCTTCAGTCAAACTTGATTTCGTAGCGAACTTGACCGCGTGCTGAAGGAGAATTTGTCGAATTAACGATTTCACAATATCAGTAACAACGACTGTGGACGTAACAGAGTTTATGCTTGATTGAAGAGCCCACACGACAGGTAGTCCGGCTGAGCGCGCAAGCGTGATAATGTCAAGAGCAAAGTCTTCGCAGGCAGAGCTGGTGACAACGGACCCGGTTATTTGCAAGAGAGATGATCTTGATTCCGAGGCCCATTTATGCAGGCTTTCAGAAAGCCAAACAGACGGTGAGATCTTGGAAGAGCCTCTTGATCTACGCCGGTCTCGGAATACGCAACCGCTCCGCAGACTTTCTTCGGGGCTCTGTATGCTAGACGAGAGATAGCGTTCAACATTCTCCAAAAGAAGACGTCCTTTCTTTGGCGTGATACTCTGGGTAGACTTCTGACCAGGCGGCAAAGGCGTCCCTTCATTTCCTAATCGAGGTCAGTCAACTATCGATGCGCCGCTAATAGAGTTCTCTGAATATAGGGGTTCTCTTACCGGAAGCGATGCGACTCATAGTATTTTGGATTTGCCGGAGAGTTATGTGCATATCTCTCATCTCCGCTTGACAGGATACATTGGAAAGATGCTGTATCTTCTGTGCGTGCAGCTTGATCTGATCCACAACATCTTTGAACTCGAGTTCGTATGGTTTCGTTATGGCGACGAGCGCGTGCATTACTCTGCTACGCTTATACCATTTGGTGGCCTTCTTACAGAACTTCAGTATCTGAGCGTAGAGATTTGCAACCGCGTGTTTGATAAATTCGTTCGGATATAGATTAGCAGACATCTCAACCTGAGGCAATATGTCCCCAATCTCTGTAAATGCAGAAGCGATCCGCATGATCAGCTCTTGATGATTTAGGGTCACCTGAGTCCGTCAGTTGCTTTCAATATGATCCACCTCTGATGGCTTTGTTCAACAGAATGACTTACCACGAAGAGAAATTTCATGGCCCCCCAAGCAAGGGCAACATACTCGGGATGATGCTGCGCCAGCACATCGAAGACGTTGCCGTAGTGTGTTACTCTTGTCGCAACCATATTCAGTATCTTGTTGGCCTTAACCTTGACGCTGCTGCTGTGCGATTTCTTCAAGTCATATCTCATCGCCGCATCACTGACAATTTTCAACACGTCGGACATGGATGTCTGATCATCGAGCCAAATAGATTGTCCGTTCTGGTCGCCTTTGAGCTCTTTCTGGCAAAAGTGTACTGCTTTCCTGTAGGCATCTTGGGCGATGGAGGAGCCTCTGGTTTTAGAATTAGATCAACTGGCTTGGATATATCTCCCAAGGAAAGTGGGACGAGAAAGAAAGACTTAACGCACTCATTGTCAGGTTCCGCTGGCCCGTACCATTTTGATGTATCACTCTCGCTTCGAAGCGCAATGACGGAACGGCATTCAGGCTCTACGACCTCAACGGAGACAATCACTGGTTGCACCTGTTTATCTGCTCTCGGTGTCGATATAGCTGAAGACGTCGTCGGGACGAGCGAAGTCATGTCTGGACATCTACTAGTAAGCTATTGAAGCTGTGTGGCTAGATAAAAATGAGAGCGTTGAGGTGGCATTATAAGTGATGGCTGCAGGCAGATGACTACCGTTTAGTTGTGGGGATTGCGGGCTTCCGTTCAAGTGGCTGTGGTTGGGCACCGATTCGCGAACTGCAAGTGCTCAGAACCGATTTCCAGTCAAATCGTGCCTTTCTGTCGATCATCTTACAATTTTTCCTTTAATTGAGAAATCCTGGTAAGTCTATTGCGTACGGGAATACCATAGTAGAGTTTGATTTGCTTCTCCTCTCGCCTACTAGTCTCAGACACTGCGTAGAACTTGAAGTGCAAACTCATCGTCTGAGCACCGTATGGAGTACACATCAGAGAGAGCTAACTGTGGCCAAATGGGTGGAGCCCCTGGGGGTCCCACTTACAGCGGTCCCACTTACAGCGGTCCCACTTACAGGAGTCCCACTTACAGGGGTCTCCGCCCTGTAAGCCGGCGCACAGCGCGTCACGATTTATGATTGGCCAGGGCAGTGAGGCACGCGTGACAGCTCTAAACCTTAAAACTTGTCAAAACTGCACAGCAGAGGTGTTGTGTGTGAAGGTTACGTAGTATGTAATAGCGCATAAGTACGTGACCGCCGGCAGGCCTTCGGGCCGCGTACTACGTACTACGGTATCAGGCAGAAGTAATCATAGCACGGCGCTAGTATTCGCCACTCCAAACGCTTCTCGATACTGACACGCTTGTCGCCCTTGGACGGCGCTATGACCACACAACAAGCAAACTAGTCCTAATTTAGCGGTTTTTTGGGCACTTTATGCTTACTACTACGTACAGTAGGAGGCGGATATTTTGTAACCCCCCCCCTGGTGAAAACGCTAGTAGCCGTATAAAACCTACTACGGGGGGGGCCATAAATATTGTTAGGCTGGCCCTAGTAATATTGGTGCAGAACGCCCATCTTATAGACCCCCTGTCGCCCTAACTCGACGCTATGACCTCACGGCTATCGACACGTTATTCTACGCGTACGGAGTACTCTAAATTCTGCCTCGTGGGTTATTTACGAATACTAGCGTTTTCCCCCCGGGGGGGAAACCAAATATACGCCTCCTACCGTAGTAGCGTTTCTAGCGCCGAGCTACGATTACTTATGGCCCTACCCGTTGTAGGCGCGAGCTTGGCGACAAGGGGCCA